TTGGATAAGTGATCGAAACACATCAACGCTAATTTACTGAGGGCATCCAATCTTCTGTTTTCTCCTATTAGGATCTTCTTGATGGTGAACTCTTTGAGGGGCTTGACAAGCCGTTGTACAGCCTTCATGTACTTCTCCATTCATTTCTTCTTCATTTCAAATTCTCTGTGAATTTGGTTAGCAACTAGTCTTGAATCTGTTAAGGCTGCTATTGCCTCTGCCCCCATTTTCTTTGCCAATCGTAGGCTGGCTAGCAAGGCCTCATTGCTATTGGTTGCTATTGCCTCTGCCCCTTATTAAGGCTTCATTATTGGAGATGTGAAAGTCGAAGCAGAGAGCATAAGTGATTTCTTCCCTCTACGGGCTAGTCAAGATCAGGCCTGCTCCTGACCCTTCCTTATTGGCTGCTCCATCGGTATATAGAGTCCATTTATGGTTATCCCTGGGTTCGTCTTCCCCCGACAGTCCCTTTACCTGGGTTGTGGCCTCTCCCCGTCTGGGATTTCAAGTAAGAAATCTGTTAGCGCATGACCTTTAATTCTAGTACGTGTGCAATAACTGATATCAAGCTCACCTAGTTCGATTTCTGACTTCGCTAATCTCCCGAACGTCTCTGGCCTGAGCATCTATTTGGTGTGCTTCAAAATAGTATCTCAGGCGTTGCGCTGCATAGATGAGATCCAACACTAACTTTTCGAGGATGGGATAGTTGATTTTGGGACCCTGTAGTGCTTGGCTGACGAAGTAAACTGGCGCTTGCCTGCCTTCCCTATCCATGACCAGGACCGAAGAGATGGCTTCCTTCGAGGTCGAGAGATATACTTTGAGTGTTTCGCCTGGAACGGGATTGGCCAATGTGGGTAGCTTGCACATGGCCACTTTGAGTTGGTGAAGCACTGCTTCTGTTGTCGCTGTCTACTGGAAATTTCTCTTTTGAATACACCCTTTGAGTGTGTGGAATAGCGACAAAGCCTTTTCTGCTGACTTGGAAATGACACGGCTCAGCGCCGTTAGCTTACCATTCAGTCATTGGGCGTCTCTCTAGGTGTTTGAGGATGGCACTTTCATGAATTCGTCAATTTTAGCCGGGCTTGGCTGTATCCATTTTTGGTAATATAGTATTGTAACGCCCGTAGATCCGGGATAGTCAATTTAGAGATAATAGGGGTCGAAAACGACTTTCGACAAAAGATTATTTATAATAAATAATCCTAACCAAGTTGTAGAATATGTCTCAAGGGTTCCGTACATATAGATATTTATAATAAATAATCCTAACCAAGTTGTATAATATGTCTCAAGGGTTCCGTACATATAGAGAACCCCAAAATCCGAGTTATAACGAAGAAGTTATGGCAAGTCGAAGTTTTTCGGCAAAACCGGCACGGCACCGGGAGACGTAAATAGTGAATTTAAGATAAAGGTCTTTTTAGCCTTAGGGATATAAATGAAAGTTGTAGAATACGTCTCTACCTACGCGTGGATATAAGGAACGTCAAAAACGGACTTCGTATGCAAAAGTTATGGCATTCCAAAGATTTAGCTTTTAAAAACCCTAAACCAGCTAATTCACGACATGAGAATTATGACACGCATGAAACTCTGTCATAATTCGGAATCTAGAAGTCGCGAGAGGTTAAGATCCAATTCCCGACGTGCAAGCTCATAACCTATAGGTGATGAATTACGAGTTCATGCGATGTTGTAACTACGTATTCATGCGATGATACTCTAACCCCTTACTATGAATTACACGTTCAAGAGATGTTGTAACTACGTATTCATGCGATGATACCCTAACCCTTGTTGGGCACGTATTGAGGAGTAATCCCTGAATCAATATTGTCTATGTGATGTAGGTGATGATCCTTAGGGAGAGTCCTTAGGTACAAACATATAAGGAAATGCGATGTAAGGAGATGAGAGGAAAATATGATGTAGGAGACGACCCTTAGGATAAATCCTTAGGGAAGGTACTTAGGAATAAAGAAGATAATGGGGATTGGTAATTGGGTTAATTGTTTGTTGATTAAACATAATAATTATATTATTGTGGGTTGAAAATCCTATGTACTCACCAGGTTTCCCAACCCGACCCACTCAGTTTACTTGTATCACAGGTGATGATGTGAAGTTACATTACACTGAGAGATTAAGGAGATATAGATCACTAGTGTAAATGAATGTAAGTTCTGTTTATGCTTATGTTTCTGTATTGACGATGACATCCTAAATGTTTTGAAATGAATAAAAATACATTTCTTTGGAAATGCTTTGATAATGAAATTATCATGTTTTTCTGGGAACAAATTCCTCAACGTTTTTATTAAAAGAGATACTCTGATTTTTTTTATAAAGCATAAACAATAATCGGTCTTTTCTGGCCGTGAAAATGGGGATGTCACAAGTACCCCAGGAATTGATCTTCCTCGACACCGAAGGTGCACTTGCCTCGATTCAGCTCCATCCTGACTTTTTCCAGTGTTTGAATGTTTCCTTTACATCGTCAACCAATTTCCTCTCATCGGGGCTCTTAATGACCATGTTGTCAACATAAACTTCGATGTTTCTTCCAATATGTTTGGAGAAAACGGAGTCGACTAGCCATTGATAGGTTTCCCCTGTCTTTATTAGACCGAACAACATTTTGGTGTAGCATAAGGCTCCGTGGTCCGTGTAGAAAGTTGTTTTCTCCTTGTCTTCCTTACTCATCAAGATCTGATGGTACCCTTTATACGTGTCTATGAAGCATTTTAGTTTGAAGCCTTTCAAGGATTCGACCATTTGGTCAAATTCTGGTAGGGGGTAGCAGTCTTTGGGGAACGCATTGTTTAGATCATCGTAATCCATGCATATGTGCCATGAGCCATCATCTTTTATTAACACGACAGGATTCACAATCTAGGTCGGGTAGATGGGTTCTCTTAGTATCCCCGAATTGGTTAGCTTGGCAACTTCGGCGTTAATTTCCCTGTTCCTATCTACCCCTTGATCCCTCTTCTTCTGCTTGGTTTCCTTGGTGCCTGATTTGATCATAAGCTTGTGCTATATAACCTTTCTATCTACCCTTACCATATCTGTAGGAGTCCTAGAAAATACGTGCCTATATTTTCTCAGAAGGCTTACCAGCTCATGTCTCATGGCTGGTGGGAGGTTTCTTCCGACACTGACCGATTGGTCTAGAGTTTCTTTATTGATAACCTCTTTGTCACTTGTCGGCTCAATGCACGACTTCTTGTTTTCTTGCACTATTTCGCTTGGTTGCATGATCCCGTAATATTGTAATTCCCTTGGTGGCGTTACAAGGACTGTTCCCGACCCCTTTGTGGTGCTGAATTTTATGATCTCGTGCATCGTTGATGAAACTGCCCCAAGTTTGAGAAGGGTTATCCGTCCAAGGATGATGTTGTGTTCTGTCAGGTGTCTTATCACAACGAAGTCTATTAGAGCTATCTTCCTTTTATCTCTGTCATGACTGGTTAATGTGAAAGGTAGATGAATTGTGCCTAGAGGCCATAGGATGTGTCATATGAAGCCTGTTAATTTCCCTATCGTAGGCTTGAGGTTCTCCTTCCATTTGTCGGGGAGGAGGCGGAACAAGCTGCCCGTGTCAATGTATACTCGGTGGATCGTCACATCTTTGATAGACCCTTGGATTATGAGCGGTTCATCACCCTGCCAACCCTTTGGACGAGGGTCCTTTGTTGAGAAAGTCAACCCTTGCATGGATTTAGTAAGATTGTCCATGTCGTCATGTTCCTTCTGCCTTCCTTGATTGGAATGTATCATCAGGATTTTGCTAGGTTGGTTACACTCTCTAGCTTCATCTTTGGCGTCTTCAGCATCAAACTTGGCGTGAAGGCTTCGGGCCACCTATATGAGGTTCCCCTTCAGTTGTTTTTCTTTCACCTCCCTTTTTAGCACTAAGCAGTTGACGGTGTCACGATTTGTGCCTTTGTGGTACTCACATAATTGTCCTTTCCTTCCTTTTGTTGTTTGTTTTTCAGAGACTGCGTAGATATTCAGCCGCCCACCCCACAAAATTGTCCTTTCCCTACATTTACTGTTTATTTGTCATAGACTGCGTAGACGTCCGACCACATGCCCCGCCTTTCATCTCTTTGGAATGGCCTGAAGCATCCCTGTGAGAGCTTTCCCCACACGAAGTGCTTGCCCCCACCTTGGGGTTCTGCGTGGGGTGGTGGTGGGTTGTGGCGTTTTGTGGCCAAAGCGATCATGGAATTTAGGTATGCTTGTTTCGTTGCTTCACCTTCTTCCTGTCTCAAGTATCATTCCACTTTCTCTTTTAGATTTGCCCGTGTCTGCCGAATCTTTCCATGAGCATTTGAGATAGGGGTCCTGGAAGGGGGCCCCATGTGAAGGCGTCTACTATTAAACCTTCGTCATGGCCTCAGAAGTCTAGTATGGCGTTGGTAAACCTGGTGAAGTATTCTCTGACTGTCTCTCCTTCCTTTTGTTTGAAGCCAATAATTGAGTGCGAATCTCCCTTGTATTTACGCAGTCGCACGAAATTTGTCAAGAATAGGTATTTGAGCTACCCAAAGTTGTATATGCTCCGTGGACGCAGCATCTTGAACCATGTTCCTACATTGTCATCCAAGTTTGTTAGGAAGTACATAAACCGGAATCGCTCGTCCAGTTTGAGCGACGTTATCGTCCACTCATATGTGTCGATGTGGCTATCAGGATCTGTAGTTCCATCGTAGGTATTTAAGTGTGGAAATTTTGATGTGTTTCGTACTTTGTAATCCAAGAGTTCCTTGGAAAATAGAGATGTCACGCTATGCAATAGGCAGTCTTGGTTTGGGATGGGAAGAGCACCCTACGGGTTATACTGTTGGGTGGCAACATGGGATCGCATAAGTATGCTGTTATACGATGGATAATGGTCGGGGTTTGGCTCGTAGAATTCTTGGTGTGGAAACGGTAGGGTTAGCGTTTGGGTAGATAGTAAGGGTGAATTTTGTGCATGGGTATTATTAGGGACAAGTTGCTGATACTGTGAGATTTTGTGGGGTAGAGTAATGTTTGTTGCGAATGGAGGTTGGGAAGGTACTATTTAGTTTCTCATTTTTTGGTCCAGCATTGGAATTTGGATAACCACTGTTGTTTCTCTTATCATTTGGTTTATCGGTGACGTTTGGGAGAACATCCCATGTACCCCTGTCGTCTGTATTGTCGATGGTGTTTGGAAGACCACCGGTTGCGTGCCTGCCACCTGATTTGGTGGTGGTGGTTTTCTAGAAAACCACTGGTTGTGCACATGCCACCTAATTTGGCAATGGTGGTGTCTGGAAAACCATCGGTTGTACGCCATCCACCTAATTTGGCGATGGTGGTGTCTGGAAAACTACCGTTTGTGTGCCTGCCACCTGATTTGGCAGTAGTTGTTGCAAGAAACTCTGTGTGGCATTAGCGTCTTTCACCGTTGGTGGCGTTGTACTACTTGGTATCACCATATATGGGGTGCTTGTATCAGAGTGCTTTGTGTTGACATAGCGGTGAAAGAAGGTTGTCCTCCATTGACTGGTTTCTATTGCCCAGTTGTCAGTGCAATAGTTACCACTAAACCGCCTTCTTTGGACACTTTGTCGGTGATTATTATGGGAGTAAGATTAGTGGTTTGCTCCAGCGACATCACATACCTAATGGGGCTAGTTGACGTTCCACCGGTCCCTCCTGTATCGCCAGACACCATTTTTCACCAATGAGTAGTGTGCTTTTGGTGGATGGTGCCAAATGATGTGACCTGATTCCTACTCTGTAATGATCCTTGTTCTTAGTAGTTCTGATGAACCTACGAGGTCACAATAAGAAAGGGCCATCAGCCGTTCTCCAGAAAGAGCTCCCCGGAAAACGCTCTGACGGTCAAGTCAGTGGATAGACTTAGGGTTGTATTATGGGTAAAACTGAGAGAGATTCACTTACATCCCAAGGCACTTGGAGTAGCCTTTTATACTAGACCCTTCTGCTAGTCCGTACGGGACAAGGGAGTCAGACCCGACAAGATTGGGGATGCTAACTGATGGATGGTGCTCCTCAATCTGCCAACACCAAAGATTGATTCAAGCGGTAATGCTCTGAGCATCTGCCTTGTCACCTGACCGTTATATTTGTAAAACCCGATCTAATGTATCAATCCAAATCACTATTTTGGTGCGAAATTGCAATCAAGTGAATGTCACAAATCGTAAATATGGAATATGAACACGTTTATGAATCTTGAATGTACACTATATTAATCAATAGTCTAGTACATAAGATCTTTATGTCTCTCGGTTCTCTCTGTCTCTCTCTAAACTCAAAATCAACTAATTAGAATGACCAACCTGGAACATGGCTGAATCAATACAATATATACCTAGATCTAAATACAAAAGGCCAACCCAAATCCCAACCGAAATCATTAATTGATTTCATTCCAAACACCACCGAATTCATGGTGTTTTCGGTCCTAGACCGAGAACTCTAAAAGCTATATAAAGCAAAGTATAAACCACAAATCATGTCCTAACAATCTCCCCCTTGGTTTATGTAACATCGTGATTTTTCATCCAGATTTTTTTTATTTTTAAAAACATTTATTTATTAGAATACGTAGCGGAAGACTTATTAGGTTTATTTCAAAAACATCATCAAAGTTATTTTCATGTCAAAACGAACCCATCAAAATTTAAAGTTCACAAAAACATAATGATGAAACTCAACATGACCAAATGGTATCATAACTAAAGATACTAACTAAGACTACCCAAAAGCTCCCATCCTCACCAAAGCATCATGTCAAGCTACCTGTTCTAACACACAAGGAAAGCTAACAAGCAAAAAACAAGTGTTAGCATAAGCTATGTGAGTCAATATAGTACAGTGTTAAGATAACACACATATCATAGATAGATTCACACAATACATCCACACACAGTCAAAGACTCACTAGCAATACTTACAACATCACACCACATAAAAAACACAGGTTTAGCTAAATTTATTTTAGTTCTTCGGTTAGAGCTTGTTTTATTAGTTACTCTCCTCAACGCCGCTTTAACTAATTTAATCTTATCGATTCACCGCTTGAATATTATTATATAATATTTTTGTTTCTGCGCTTTACATTAGTACTTACTGACCGCCCACCGCAGTAATTATTAAAGTACTACCTTCTAGTTAGGGTCTTTTTATTCACCACAAAAACCTTCCCAAAACTAGACCCCGTTCGCTACTCATGTGACCAAAACGACCCAATGCACTAAGTGAGGCGCGAATCTCACCCATAATCATTTCCCCCGGTACACTGCGTTCGCTACTCCGACTGTGCCAATTCCAACAGATACACCTCCAAAATCCAACAGATACACCTCCAAAATCCCACGTGATTTTTGCGTTGGTCCCACCGCTTCACCAACATCACTCCAGTCCCAGTATACCAAGGTGTACCAAGACCATGTCCTGATTGGTTGTCTAGAAAAACAGTCGGCATCAAAGTTGGCTTAAGCTCTTTTTCCTATAGGTATCTTTCAACCCACTAGTCCATCATAATATATGGATTGGGTATTTACCTATGTCTAGGTTTCTACCCTTCGCCCCACTAGTGTGTTCCCCTTTTCTGATTTAATATTGCTTAATTAAATAAGGAGTTACACTTTTCCCTTTTCAAGTAATCATGTAAATATTATGAATTTTCTTTTACATATTACCTCTTTAAGGGTTATTTTCATGCAAACATGTATTTTCATGAAGTTATCACATTTTACATCACACACTACTTTCATACACAACGCATCTATAAAGTTGATACAATACAAACATTCTTGTCCTAAAACATTTTAAACAAAAAATTTCTGTAACACCGTAAATTTCAAAACAAAATTTTCAAATTTTCGTAAAACATAATTCATTTAATATTCATAAAACAATCATATTAATTATCCAATTCAAGTAAAATACAAAAACCCAAGATCACAAATGTATAAACTCCGTGTGTGTGTACGGATCAAGCCGGCGCCTTCCCGCTGTCGTCACTAGTACCTGAAACAATAATATCAAACACTGTAAGCACAAAGCTTAGTGAGCTCCCCAAAATACCATATATAACACATATTAGCCACTCAAGGCTATAACTCTGTGGGTCCGTGCACCCAAACTCTGTGAACCCTCAGGTTCTAACTCTGTAAACATGCACAGCATAAATCACATAGAAATAATGCAGTACAACACATAACATACATAGCATACAAACACTCTATCACATAACTCTGGTTACCTACTCAAGGTAAAGTATAGTGAGAAGACTCACCTCGCGTCTCGGTAAGTGGTGAATCCTGAAATCACTAGTGCTCGATCCCCCGAGCTAAAGTCCTCCTATATCACAATACATCTCTAATTAACACTTTCCCAACTAAGGTTGACTACTCTTTAACAAGTCAACTTAGGTCAACGGTCAATGGTCAACTTTGACCGGACTCGGCGAGTGCACAATAGCGACTCGGTGAGTCTGAGCGTATACACTGATTTCCCTGAAATCCTCGCTTCACACATCGAGTATCCTCTTAACTCGACGAGTTCCACCTGGCATGAGTTGTGGGGCCACCACGACTCAACTCGCCGAGTCTCAAGAACAACTCGGCGAGTCCAGCTTGACTCAGTCCACCTGTCCACTCAGACTTCCCCCTGATTCACTGAGTCAACCCTCCCCAACTCGGCAAGACCACTCGTTGTGTGGTCGGGCAACATTCATACCACTCGCCGAGTCTGTGCCATGCAATGACTCAAACTTGCTCATAAGGTCAGATCCAAACCATTAACCCATAGATCCAGTCCTTCCAAGCATATTTAGCACGTAAAGTCACTATCTTGATGCACATACAATCTCTACATGACCATAAATGATGTTTTTGTCTCAAATACTACAACCCACGGTCATAAACTCCATTGCTATACATAAAGCTTGAAGAATGAGGCTCTCTGGACCTCCATGGATCCAGATCCAGAGCCTCAACACAAGAAGGGAACTATTTGGCATCAAATCATCCCATAAATGTCCATAAGAAACCCTAGATCCCATTATTCATCACAAAACAGAAAGTAATCCGAAATCATACCTCTAGATTGATGATCTAAGCTTCAAATCCACAGAATAGCAACCTCCTTTGCTTCCTCTTGCTTAGAATCTTCTCCTTCTTTGCTAAATGACACACACAAGGGTCAAGAATGCGTCCTTTCTCTCTCAAAACGTTCAAGCACACAAGGGTTTTTGTCTAAGGGTTGGGTGAGCACAAATGACGGCCATAAGGCCCTTTTAATAGGCCGCAAACCCCGGAAATTAGGGTTTAACCACACAACGTGGACTCGCCGAGTCCACTCTTGGACTCGTCGAGTCCAGACGCGAACCCGTGCCCAAATCCGCGATCCTACTCGGCGAGTCTGGCTTCAACTCGCCGAGTCCACTCACAATTTCCATAAATAAATCCAAAATAAATACCTGAAAATTCCGGGCTGTTACATTTTCAAATAAGAATTAACATGCTCACATGATGTTCATACACTTCACTCAATCTAGCATGACCCTAGAACATATCTCACACCAAACAAAGAAGAGTCTAGCATGCAACACCCTAGGTATCATTACACATAAAACATTTCAACAATAATGACATTTCAATCAATCATCAAAAGTACACATGCATCCTAGATAACTAGGTTCATCCCAATCCATCTAAGATATGAGATACTCCAAACAATGTACTTTTAAAACCACAAGTTGATTCACCTTTGCCAAAGATTTGACCAACTCACAGTTTAAATCTTGTATTGGTTGAAATATCACCCTTGCCACTATTACTTTTCAAATAACAAGGTTATTGTTGTTCTATAATGTGAAAGATGACAAATTTATAACCCAAACACATAAATCAATAAACAATTAAAATTCTTAGTTTTGGACCCAAAATAGCCACCTGTTTAGAGCTGTTTTAGCACACTTGAAACCTATATATATTCCATTTTTATTTCATATTCCATAAGCTAAGAATTTTATCATTTCATAATGTACTTTTGACGGTCCAAACGATTTTTATACAATTTTATATGATTTTTACAAAACTGCCTATCAATCTAGCTAAATTCTGACAAGCTGGTGAAAAAGGTGATTTTCACCCAAGTTAGAAAAAACAACAGGTTCTGGAAAATTTCAAGGATAAACTAGACTCAAAATGGAGTTTATAGATCATAAATTCAATTCCTATTGATTTTTCTATAATTTTTCCAATACAGGGATAGATTGGTAATTCTTGCTGATTTTCCCAACTTTGGATTTCAAAGGCTTTTTGACCACTTAACGCATTAAGCCATCACTAAGAACACCTATTAGGGTAAAATTAAACTTCTTAACAGAAATATCATGATTTAATGACAGAAACATATCCATTTGATTCATGGTGGAATTTAACATAAGTTTTAGAAA